CGGCAAATTAAAGAAAGATACTGTTTACTTCTTTTTTTTTGCTTTTACTAAGAAATGAATTAGCTGATAGGTCCCCCTGTAGGCAGTCCCTCTTCCATTAGACATTGATCTCCAATTGTTGCCCACTATTCCAAAGGTCAATGGCTAGAAATTGGTTGACCTCCAAAATCAGGCATAGTTAAATCAATATCCTGCAACTGAATCTACCCTGGGCTAACAGGACCCTAGGGTAGATTCTTGTACACTGCACTGCAGGTCTGGGTAGTAGAGTTGGAAAGAAAGAGAGGTAGCTTGTATTCTCGGCAACATGGGAGGAAAGGACTGGAGGGTCCCCAGTACCCTCCTGAGAAGAAGGAAGTGAGAACAAAGAGCTGTGGAGGTTAATCCCAGGAGTATAGCCCCAATGACCTGGATACAGTGCCAGAAGTTAAATATTCTCATTTGATTGGTCAAAGCAAATGCATCTTCAAAAACCAGGTCCTACCAACCTCATCAGTGTTCTCAGCCACGATTCAATTCACCACATCGCCATTGCTCACCTCCCAAGCAGGACTCATACCTACCATCCACAAGCTACACCTCATACTCACACACTTAGCGCTGCTGCAAGCCTCAAATCCACATTACAGCATGTACAGACTACCATCCACATCACTCAAACAGATTCACCTCCACTGATGTACCCTCTCTTGCAGAACAGAGTGGGGCAAATCTGGAGGCAGCAGCATCCAATGGGAAGAGGAGAGGCACATTCAAAGCCCTCCAGGCTTTAAGCTCGATTATCCATTTTCTTTCAGGCACTCTGGAACTGCAACCTGCTCCAAAAGAGGCTGAAGATCAAGAAAACACTGAAAATTTAGGCACATCATCTATTGATTTCACAGTTGCACCCATCAACTCAGATACTGATACTGCATTTAATTCAGGGTCTGGGATAGAGGCTCTGCATGTGGTGAGACACTGGGCACCATTGTGCTGCAGCTAGGGTAGGGAATAAAGGATAGTGTGGGTACCAGCTTGCTAGAGGCAAGGTCGCACTTGAAATGCTGTTACAGAGGATTCACATGAGGACTCTGAAAGGCTAGGCTGAAGAAGACTTAAGGGATATACAGATTCAAACACCTAGTGCACTGGGAAGCCTTCCACACAGATGGGGATGTCGAGGAACAAGGAGGAGTCTGGCATCAACCTAGCATTGGGCTTTGTGCAGAGCTTACAGCCCATTGTTTCCAATGCTGAATGGGTAGCCATACCAATGGCACCAACCATGACCAATGTTTCTATTTCCAACATAGCATTCACTTAACATCGTTGGAACTTCAGAACATCTTCATCGTGCTTTGACTACCAACATGCAAAAGAGACGTTAGCTATCTGCCCCTTAAAGACTCTCTGCAGATACAGCTCCCTGCTCACAGCTCTTCTTCTCCTCCCTCTTCCAGCAGCTTATGTTGCTCTCTGTGGCCTCTTCTGCCAGCAACATTCAATGCCAAGAGGGAACTTAACTGAGCAACCAGCCTCTGGAAGTGGCTGGTTTGTGCACTAGACTTTTGAGATAGCAGAAAGGCAATTCAGTAGTAACTGGATCGCTCCCTGTGATCTATTGAAGGTTCTTTTAACTCACACTGTTGCGGTTTTGGAGGGAAGCTGACACTAGTTGTGGCCCTTTATGCTGCTGAATGCTTGTTCAATTGTGGGAAGTTATGAGAGGGTATCCATTAGAGCTCCAAAAATGGGAAACTTTGGAGCCAAAGCAGCATTATACATTGATTACAGTCTTGGCCTACCTTCTCCTCATACTTCCATTGAGAGTTAGATGTGCTGTGTCAAGCTTTTCATGACTATGGTGTCTGGTGCATTCTGCACCAGATGTATGTGCCCCATACACTATTTTGGAGCCTTAAGGAGCTGAGTGAGTTCCCCAGAAAATGAAAAGTACAAACTCCAATTCACCCTCTTCCCACTTTTTCACAAGTCCTTCAAAAATATTAGAGTCGTGAACACAAAGGAAAACAAACAGCTTTTCCATAACAGGAGGCTGTCGCCTGATGATTGAAAAAAAGAGATTCGCATTTATATAGCTCCTTTTACAACCATGGACATCTCAAAATATTTTCCAGCTAATTCAGTATTTTGAAGTTACTGTTGCAATGTAAAAACCAAAATAGCCAATTTGTGTACAGTAGAATCCCACAAACTGCACTACAATAATGATCAGACAATTTGTTTTTGTGATGTTGATTTCACACCCACTTGAAGGATTAGACAAGGCCTTTGGTTTAATATCTCATCTGAATAATAGCAATTACTCAGTACTAAGCCTCCTCTAACTGTCCCTCGATACTGCAGTAGGATGTCAGCCTGTCCTTCTCTACACAAGTCTGAGAGTGGGACTTGAACCCACAACCTTCTGATTCAAAGCCAAGTATGCTACCCATTGAGTCATGTCTAGCATCAGGTAAAGAAAAAGACAACCGGTCCTGAAAATCAGATCACACACACACACACCTCAGTGAGCTTCTCCTGTGGGTCATTGAGCCATGCTGAAGGTCTCAGGTTCAATCCCTGGTTTGTGCTGCATTTGCTGATCTCATTTGGAATGCAGTAGAGGGTGTCACATGGGGCTAAAGCTGGATAAAACAATTATTGGCCAGAGCTTTGCCTCCTGAATGCTATTTACTGACTTGACGACAGATATTTGGTGAGGGCAGTGCTGGGCTCAGCAGTAATGCCCTCCATAGAAAAAAGAACTAACCTACATTTATATGAATGAATAAATGATCATTTATCATCACTTGTATTTTACAGTGAATAATACAGTAGAATACAGTGAAAAGCTTCAACAGTCGCCACAACTCGGCGCCATTTTGAATAGTTTAAAAATAAAAAGAATAAAAAGATATGACTGAAAGAGAGTCCATATTCATTCCACTGCCTCTGCCATGAGCCCTGAGCCAGGTCACCAACGACACCTGTGCCACTCCGCCACCACCTTGCTACTGCCTCCACAAGACCCACCAATGTTGAAGTCGTCACTCTTCAGGGACCATCTCTTCCCTGCTGGGCCCACCTCACTAATGCCGGGTGCCAGGTCGGGCCCACACTCAACCTGCAATCAGGAGTCCCCAGCTCTGCTGCTGCCTCTGCCTCACCGATAACCAGGAGTCCCTGGCTCCGGGCCTACTGCAGCCTGGAGCTGCTGCCTCTGCCTCACCGATAACCAGGGGTCCCCGGCTCTGGGCCTACTGCTACCTGGAGCTACTGCCTCACTGATAACCAGGAGACCCCAGCTTCGGGCCTACTGCTACCTGGAGCTGATGCCTCCGCCTCACTGATAACAGTCAGCTGTTTTCCTGCACTCACATCACATGATGGCTTGTGATGTAACTCTGCCACCTGTCTCGCTACAGTTTGGTGTCTCATTTGTCAAGTACATTGTCGAGTAGTTGGCTGGGTCTCAATATCTTGGCTGTCAAATGAATAATGACCACTTGGGGAAGGTGCTGGAGAGCAACCAGTGCTTGTGGAACTCAAACTCCAGCAAGGAATCAATTTCATTTGAGGAGAAGAATCTAGAGGGAGAAAAATGATTGGACTCATAAACTCAGGCAGCATATAAGATTTCCATATCTATGGATCAATTTTACACTGCGTATAAAACAATAGGTTTTCAATAATTTAAAATAACATTTCCTAGGATAAAGATCTCAGTTGAACTGAAACAATTGGCTCCAAAAAAGGCACTCCTTTCTCTCCAAGAGTCCAAAGATCTTCCCTCCAGTTTTCAGGAATGTTTTTCGAGCTGGTGTTACCCCCACCCCCTGACTCCAGTAAAGAGATTTCCTGGGATATCATTCTTTGGCCCATGAATTCCCAACTAAATTATAGTGCTTCGCATGTAACTTCCTGCAATGCAACATGGTTTCCTCTACTTCCGAGCTGCAGGAGTAAAAATAGCCGAGAGTGTGACACATTCTGGGTTGGGATATTGAATGCTCAAAAATCAAAATAAAATTGTTTTACTTGGTAGTAAATGTACAATTAATAGAGCGCACCTCTCCCACATTCCGGAATACTGTGATGCTGCCAAAATCCATTCCAAAGACACAGGCCTCTCTCAGGATGGGAGTGAGTTTCAGAAATGCTTCCTCTGCCATTAGGACCTGTTGGATGAATTTAATTAAACTCTTTTGCCGATGAAATCAATCAGCAGTTTCAGACAGTAATCAAATCAGATCGGAGACATGCAACGAACAGGAACTGACTGCAGCAACTGCAACAAACTTTCACCATTCAGTGCTTTAATGTGGATGGTTATGTTACTCGGAGCTGCTTGGGTGTTACTGGGGGAGGGGAGGCATTCTGCAGGCAAAATTTCACATGGTGAAGTAAACTTTGTGTATTTTCTCTTTGCCCCCACCCCAGTTCCACCAGCAACCAGTTAATGGTCAGCCAGCGAGTGTTGGCAAGTGACCCGGCCTCAGCCAGTACCAAAGTCAAGTCCAAACTTGTTCTCACCTGATATGCCCCATGTTTGAACTTGGGGCACTGTGACAAAGGAGCAGAAGTTGTTGGGGTGGTGGGGCGTTGTTACAATTGGCATCTTTGTCTCTGGATTGTGATGGGAGAGAAAATAAGCCAGGAATCACCATTTGTTGGCTCCTTGTTAGGACTATTTTATTGTGTGCAGCACATTAAAGATACTATATTTATACAGAACCCTGCGTGCGTAGCATCAGGCAGGCTATTCAAACAAAAAAAATCCTATATGGATCCTACATGACAAACAATTGCTTTTTTAATGATGGGATTTATTTTGGTGCAATCAGGGGAGAAAATGAATCACAATTAACGCTGAATAGCACAGTGGAACGGTTCACCAACGCATACTGCTAATGAGTAATGGGACCTAGCTCCACCAATACAATTGCCCACAAGGCACATTCTCAATCTCAGCCTGGCAAATAAAACAGCAGGAATGCCCAATTGGTTCTCAAGGGGTTAAACAAATGTCAGTACAGTAAATGTAATGGGAACAGAACAACATCCAGAGAATATGCCCTAGGGTTAAAAGCCAGAGGTCAGCAGCTCTGCAGATTGTTCCTGGCAGGAAGAGTCCTAAATCCCAGCGGTGACTACAAATGGAGCAGTCATTCAAGTATTCAGATGATGTTGAAACACAACATTAATTGTTGAAGTCAGATAGCTGAGGTTACAGCTATTCACAATGGAAATCCTACTGGGATCGTTAAGCAAGCCAACATTATTTTGACTAGTGTTGGGACTCTCTCTAGTCTAAACCTTCTGGTGGTCTCACATCCCAAGTAATGTCAGTTATAATGCCCACACTTGTACCAGACAGAGACATTCACACTTGTACCCACCAGAGATGCCAAAACTAGTACCAGCCAGAGACGCTAACATTTGTACCAGCCAGGGACGCCCACACTCGTACCAGAGATATTCACAGTTGTAGCCACCAGGGACGTCCACACTTGTACCAGTCACAGACATTGACACTTGTACCAGCCAGAGACATTCACAATTGTACCTGCCAGAGACCCCAAAACTTGTACCAGAGACATTCACACTTGTAACTGCCACAGATGCCCACAGTTGTACCCGCCAGAGACATTCACATTTGTGCCAATCAGAGATGCCAAAACTTGTACCAGCCAGAGACATAGACACTTGTACCAACCAGAGACGTTCACACATGTACCAGTCAGAGGTGCCCAAACTTGTACCAGTCAGAGACATAGACACTTGTACCAACCAGAGACGTTCACACATGTACCCACCAGAGACGCCCACAGTTAGGGGAAGGTAATGGTCCATTAATCCAGAGATCCAGCTAATGTTTTGGGGACCCGGTTTCAATCCCACCACAGCAGATGGTGGAATTTGAATTCAATAAATATCTGGGATTTAGAGTCTAATGATGACCGTGAA